TTATTGCACAACATTAGTTTCATAGAGTTAAACCTTCGTTAAGCATACCTCTCACTTGTTTCGTGCGATTCCACAGTGATGGGCGGCTGCACCGATGGCGGCCTGAAACAACAATACAATGGCGATGGCGGGATCGCGCAGGAGTAATGGAGAGCCTCTCGGGCAAGGATGGAGGTTGCCCGGTGGTCGAGAGAGATCGCGCAGTGATGGAGTGAGATGGAAAGTGATCACTCGACGATGGAGGGAGATTGTGCGGCGATGAAGAGAGAAATTGCGCAACACTGGGGTGGGATAACACTGGTCAGCGCAACGGTGGAGAGCGATGGCGCACTGGTGGAGAGCGATGGCGCAGCGATGGAACGCGTTACAATGCAGTGATAACGATAGCGATCGCAACGATGGAACAATGATAGCGATGGCACACCGGTGGAGAGTGATGGCGCAGCGATGGAAGAGCAATAGGGATGACGCACCGGTGGAGAACGATGGCGCACCGATTGAGAAATGGCGCAACGATGGAACCAGCGTTGCGATAGCAACGATAACGATGGTGCAGCGATGGAACCAAGGTTGTGATGGCAGCTATGGTACCAGCGTTGCGATGGCGCAACGATGGTCAGCGCTGCGATGAGAGCGATGGCGATTGTAAGCGGTGCGATGGTCAGGCGAGCGCGACGGCTGCGATGGGGGATATAGCTTTGCGTCGCGATGGCGATGAGCTAAGCGCATCGATGGCGATGGTGCATGGCGAGCGTTGGCGATGGCGATGAGCTAAGCGCATTGGTGACGATGGTGCATGGCTAAGCGCATCTATATCCAACGCCGTTGACATTTGCAAAATGTCCGAATGACAGCGACACCGGAACTTGTAGATTTCCGGTGTTTTTGATCTCGGCGCAAAACGAATCACCGCGCCTCGGCGGGAAATAAACCGTCGCCTGGCCTCGGCACGAAACGAACCGCCTCGGCGCACAACGAATTCCCGCACCTTATAGATTCTTGCGCCTGACCTCGTGCGTCGGATCATGTCGGTCGACGGTCCAGATTAGAACTGCGAAAATGACATTGTCTGCCCCTTGTTTTCGGGAACTGTCACATCATTGCACGCCGGAGTAGACGGAGATTTTGAGGCCACTTGCATATCAGTGGCCTTGTTCATCTGTCGGTTGAAAATTGTTGATCGACGGCTGACAATTTTCGGTACCTCTTACCGTTTATAGGCCCTGGCGTTTTATGGGCCCAGGGGTTCGATACGCGAATCGATTCGGCCCCAGCTTGATGGCATTTTATGGGCCCAGGGGTGCGATATGCGAATCGATAAGGCTCCACCTTGATCCCGACGCGAGGCTTGCTGCAGCAAAGTATAAAAGGCATTGCATCCCTCCAGTTATCCCTTTTGTTGACGCTTCACAGATCAAGTCGCGCTATCGCTTCCTCGCGCGTTCTGATATTTGGTCTTCAGCCCTCACCACCTTCCGCCATAGCCCGCTCACTCCTCGCTCTTCGCTCCGTCCGCAGTTGCCACATTGTGTTCGGTTCGCTCTTCGCTCTTCCTAGCTCTATATCCCTCCACCATAGCTTGTTCGGTGGTCGCACATCCATATCCGTCCGACGTTGGTTGCTCGCTCAACGGGCGACGAAGGTAAAATTATATAACTTGAGTTGTCGTATTCTGTGTCCGACGTCTGAACACATTCCCAGATGCCTTGTCTGTACCTGCAGGATATAACGCCGCAGCCGCGTTCTGTTGAACCCCTAATCAATTCCCGGTTTTTTTGTTTCGCCAGTGGACGTGTTCTGATGTCTTTTCTCCMCCCTCCMCCTCCGTCCGCCATAGCCGATCCGCGTTTCGCAGATCGATTACCTTTCGCCATAGCCACGATAACGTTCGTATAAAGCTGCTCGATCGCCTTCGCAACTTGTGGTCGTCGCTGCGCATGGCGAACCCTGAATCAATACCTAATTTCTACACTGAACACCGAATCAATTCCCGATTTTCGCTCACCTGTCCCTTGTGAGGTCGCCGACCTAATATATATATGGATAGATATATAGATATATATAGATACATATATATATAGAGAGAGAGAGAGATATTGCGAGTCAGTTCCCAGTTTGCGACGTTCAGTGTTCGAGGAGTAACAACTGCGAGGTAATTCGCAGTTTTCCTAAGGTTAGACAAATATGTCATTAAAGGCAGTTCTTTATTTCCACAAATGCGAGTTAGTTCGCACTTTTTGAGCAACACTGCTGGAGGAGTTGATAACCCATCCCGTGCGGCTTTCAGGTCTTCAGTTCCACAATTCCGAGTTAGTTCGTACTTTCCCCCAGTGTTGCGGGTTGCCATTGTTGTCTTGTCTACAGAACTGCTAGTTAGTTCGCACTTGTCGACACCCTTCGCACTTGTCGATAAACCAGATATTCAGTTCCACAATTCAAAGTCAGTTCCGGTGGCGGAAATGACCCTCCGCATGAAGAGGATGAGAGGAAAATCGGAGGCGGTGATGGGCGGGGATGGAGGTGACGTCGGAGAACGTGCCTCGGGAAAGAGGCCGCCGAAGGAAGAGCGTGGGACGGCAAGTAAGAAAGCGAGGAGGCCCGGCGGTTTGACCATCCGCGAAGGACAAGCCGTGGGTGGAGGTGATTCGGCTGATTGAGGTGTTGCGGCTGCGAGAGAACCTTCAGGGAAATCGAAACGGAAAGTGGCAGCTGAAGAAGGCGATGGCCAGAAGAAACCTCGAAGGCGAAAGACTACTGAGGCGGCGAGCAGGGGCGAACGGCCTGTCGGTGAGGAGTGCGACGAAGCGGCAGCGTTCTGACTCGAATACGAGCGGAACGATGGCGGTGAAATCATGGAGAAGGAGTTCCCCGTCCAACTGCTCATCAACCCCAGGAAGGTCTGCGACATCCCGTCTTGGGAAAGATATTACAACCACTGCAGTCTAAATCGCGAAACTGTGGACGACATCAAGGTTGCGATGTTGAGTCAATTCCGCGAGAAAAGGAGGAAAATCTGGACGAAAAACCCTTTGGTTCTGGCACCCATCTACAAGCCGGTGACGCGTAGGCTGGACAAAGTTGACAGGGTTCACAAAGATGTCTTCAAGCCAGAGGACAAGGACAAGTACTACTATTACCCTGTTAACGGTCAACACACCGTGGCTGCTGTGAAGGAGTTGGAGGGTGAGCCAATATTCGATTTGTGGAAGATGCACTCGTGGCCGGCGAGAGTAGTGTGGTTCTCCAACCGAGATTTCGCGGGCTATAGGCAGGTCAGTCTCAACGAGAACACGAGACACAAGATGTCTAAGCAGCGATCACAAAAGGCCGCGTTCTTGGACATGCGGGAGGCATGGGAGAAAGAAGGAAGGCCGATGGCCATTTAAGGGAACCCTTTTGGCAAGGAGGCCGAAAAATAAAAGTTTTTCGAATTCCAAAATATGCTTTTGGGAAAGAGTCCGAACGAAGCTCACTGGACGTTGGCAAAAAAAGATTCGTCGCTCCCTGACAAGGAGTATATCGCTGCCGTTGGCAATGCATTGAGGCAGTGGATGCCGCTCGTGACGGCCGGTGATGACGTTTTCCGCAAAGCCATGGAGTTCTACGCGAAATGGGCGGAGGGGAAGTTGTTAGGCGGCGACGGCAAGACGCCATTGTCGAGGCCGGAAAAATACATGCCAGACAAATCTCTGAGTCTGCAAACAATTCCGAAAATGGGCTCAAAAGGGGCGGCTGGTGAAACGAAGATGGGGTGGCTGGTCCGGGTCCCGCCGCCTCCGACTAAAAAGCAAACGCAAGCGGACGACAAGTTTTTTGTGGTCGTGAGGGAGCCAGACATGTTCTGTTGGCAGTGTCTCGCCGACATGACCAATGTCAATAAACTGTCGATCCCCGACGAGATTCTCGCACTAAGGGGAGTGTTCGTGCAATCCACGGGCGGGCATCTGAAGCGTCAGCATAAACCTGGAATTAAAAACATGGTCGCGACGACGAAAGTGCACCGTGTGATGCTTCGTATGTTCCACTACATCTTGTTCCTTGAAACGGAGGAGGACGAAAGTGTTTGGCGATACGGGAGCCCTTTTTTCCGCACCGAGGGGCGGCTTCTGGAGGAGTTCGGGCCGCAGGGCCTCACGAAACAGGTGTGGGTTGAAATGCGAAGCATTTTGAGGGCGCGATGGAGTACGTGAACACTTGCAAACGTACTCTTCCGCACCAGAAGCAGTCCCTCGACGATGCGAAGAAATTGTATGAGGACGACAGGTTCCCTAAATATTTCGAAAAGTCTGTCCCTTCCATCTTGCGACGAACGGAAGAAGAAGTTCAAGACACGATCAGGGTCAGCAGGGATGTGAGGCACATCAAATGGCCCGACCTCAACCGGGTGACCAGCCTTATTCCTTTCCCTTTCCCGCCTTCCCAAGCTCACAGTCATGTCACTGCGATCCGTGAGGTTGTGCGACATTACGTGTGCAACTTGTACGTCCTCGATTTGTGTGATCCCACACTCCTCACAAACTGGCGAGAATACGATTTTGCGAACCTGCAAGGCGTTCTCCAAACACTTCGCCAACGCACTGGACACTTGTAATATTTTTCCCCTCTCGTTGAGAGCTCAGTTTCTTGAAAGGCATGGCAAGGCTTATCGTCCATCAGGTCAGGACAGGGAAGTGGGTGCGCAATGCACAAAGGCAGGCCACTGTCCGGGAAGGCAATATGCTGGTCAAGGAGTGTGACCGCCATTTTTAATGGCGAAAAGTTGGAAGACAACACATTCGCAGTCTACCCGGCCAGTAGCCCGACAAAGGCTTCCCGTGCTCATGGTCGAAGTCCGGCCAAACACACGGTGCTGGCCCACTCGAAAGATGTCTGTTCGTCGGACCCATCAGGACAGGCTGTGGCGTGTTTCGACGTGCCGGAAGAGGAAAGGTTCTCTCGTAGCATGTGGGAGGACGGCGGCGTGACAAGTGTTAGTGGACCTGCTTACGGGGAGATGGAGCGGAACCCGTCCCGTCTACTTTGTGTACTCGAAAACTTTTGCAAAGTTGGGCAAACTATTTTTTTTCTTTGGGAAGGCGCGTGCGTCTGTCGTGTGGGAGCTCCTGCGCACCGGTCGGAACGTCGTCGCTTTGGAGAAGGAGGCGAGGATGATCGATTACCTTCACGAGTTCGTGAAGGCACGCGTTGCAAACACTCGCAATGCTTGCGAGTTTGTCCTCATCACCGGCGAACGAAACTGGGATCCCAAACGTGACATGTATTGGAAAATGCCGGGGAACAAAAGGACGGAGGTTTGGGACTTCCTTTTCCAACCCAGACCGCATGGTCCGACCGACCTCGAATACACTCGACGGAGAAACCTGGTGTTCAGTGTGCTCAATGGGTACCACGATGCACCCAGGGAGTCTGTCTCGCATTTCTTGAGAAGGCTGGAGCACGTTTACTTCACGCTGGCCGAACCGCTCATCCTCGAAAACTACAAGTCACAGTTTGACGAGGAGGACCTTTTCGACGCTGAAGACATGGAGGAGCTGAGCGACTCGGAAACCTTCGATTTCGATTCCATGCCACTTCCTCGGGTGGTTGGACAGGTTTGTGATGAAGAGGAAGGTGGCCCTCGGAGATATAGCACGTCCCCTGCCGGTTTGAAGCGTGTGTTTCGGCGTGAAAGAGTCGACGACCAATCGTCTGATGACGGGGAGGAAGAGAGAGACTATGATTACGAACCTAGTGCCAAGCTCCCTGGGGACCATGATACCTGGGAGAATGACAGACTCTTCTTCTTCGGCAAGCATCACCGGTTCACGTCGGATGATGTCTGGGGACACAACCCGAGGATATTCCAACCTGCTGTGAGGAATGGAATGTGGGTCATGGCAATGAAGGAGGCCGACGGCAAGTGGAGTGGATTGAAGAGACTGGGAGCGGGTGCATTTAAGAGAACGGCGAGAACTGCTCTAGTGGAGCATTTGAGTCTCATGAACCCCGAGAGGAACGAACCGGACGTCGCTGCGTATGCAGAACAAAAGTTAAATGAGTTGTACGGCAACAACATGTTGGAGTTTCGAGCGCCTTTCTACACACTCGAAACGACACCGTCTCGTGGCATTGACTGGCGCATGCCGCAACCTCCGTCAGGCGGTCATCATCCGGGAGGGGGTGGAGGAGGAGACGAAGGAGATGGCGGAGACGGCGGAGGAGACGGCTCACAGTTTGTCGGAAAGAGGACGGGCGAGACATCGTCGGTAGAGAAGGCGTCCGGCGGAAAGGGGTCAGGCGGAAAGGACTCCTGCGGAAAGGGGTCGGGCGGAAAGTGTAGAACGTCCGGGAGTCCCCAGTATATGGGTACTGACCCTCACTGCGCAGGGAGTCGAGATTCCGACATGCGAGACGAGGCCACCCTGAGGTCTGATCAAGTGCGAGTAGATTCGCACTTGTCTGCGAGGACTTTGTTTCCCGTAGCCGAAAAGAGTCCATCTCGCCGTGCGCAGCAAAGATCTTCTGTGCTCAACACCTTGCTCCTGAAAGAGGGCGCGTCTTCGTTTTGCCTGGAGGGCGGGATGCCTGCATTGTGAAGGAGCGAAGGTGCCACCTTCGGTTCCCTCGTCTCGGGCGACCGCCACAAACTCCGAATACATTCGGATTTGCTGACGTCGCCCTCCACCATAAGTGCTCCTCACGCAACAATTCCGCGGGGCCAAGAAAATGTCACGTCCTGCCCCCCGCATCTTCAGTTGGACACATGGTTGCCCTGCTCGCCTCTGTTCTCATGTGTTGAGACTCGAGACTGGAGGTCTCACGACGTGCTGGAGGGGCCCCCTGCAGGAGTGTTGGAGACCGGGGGTAGCGAGCACGAACGTCACACTCCTGGGCAAGAAGAGCGCTGTCCGGGAACGCGTGTTGTACATCGGGAAGAGGAGACTCAACCCTGGCAATCTCGCAAAGTGTTGGAGACCGGGGGGAGCGAGTGTGAACGTCATGCTTCGGAGGGTGCGTCCGTGGACATTGGAGTGCAGGAGCTCCAGGGGAAACGCATGCTCTACAGCAGGGAGAGGAGACTCGACACGGGCCGGCTCGTGAAGACGTGAAGTGGCTCCATGCACGAGCGCTGGTGATCAGGACGACCAAAGAGGTTCTGCACAGTCGTTCAGCTGTGGCCACGACGCGAGAGGGTGCGGTTAAGGGAGGTCAGTGGACGTCCGTGCAAGCTCCCGTTCTTGGCGACGATGAAGACGAAGAAGAACCCGCAGTGGACGCTCGGGTTAATGGCGATGAGGAAGGCGGATAACCCATGGTGGAAGGCGGTGAGGTGACTGTCGACATCCGGATGGATCCTCAGCGGAAAGATGGTGATTGTTCACCCACCCGTTGCGGAGAAGAACAGGGTGGTCGACCGTCTGTCCTAAGCACCGCTCGGGGAATGGTGCTTCATGAAGCCCTAGATTTGGGTGATGACTCGGCAGCCACAGAGCTAGTTAGCGACTAAGGCGTGGCCGAGATGCAGAACGTCGAATCCTTCGTGGAAGGCGTTGAGGTGGCCGTCAGCATCAAGATGGATCCAGAGCAGAAAGATCATAATTCTCCGTCCACCCATTGCGGTGCCGAACAGGGTGATCGAGCATCTGTCCTCAGTACCAGTCGGGAAATGGTAATTCATGAACCCATCGACTTGCCAAGAGACACAGCTGCCACCGAGATGGTTAGCGACACAGCCATGGCCGAGGTGCAGAACCTCGAATCGTCCGTGGACGTTGGCGCAGTGGCGCGAGAGGAGGGCGAGTTCCCTCAAAGGGCTCCCGAGAACGGTAAGATTTGTGAATAGGACCACTCTCCTATCTGTCACTAGCCAGCTCTGTGTTCGTCCAAATTGATGTTATGGGCTAATGTACCTATTACCACTTCTTAAAAAAAAGCTTGTGGGCTGTGGGTTGTTTTCTATGTTCTATAGGTGTGAGGTTGTTAATGTCCCTCCCCATGAAGCCTTTAAAAGCCGTGCGCGAGAAACGTCTTTCAGGGAGGTCATTGGCCGCTTTACCGAAGAAGTCGTCAAGTGTAGGGTTGTTTAAAAGGGTCCAGATGCCTCGCCTTTCCCAGAGAGCTGTCAGGGTTCTGAAGGCATGTGGAATAGATAAGGAGGAAGGTCTGCGGAAACATTTGGCTGCGTCTATTGAGAGCGTTACTGCTTTGTCTGATGGGTCTGATTACGATGGCAAATAGGGTGTCTTGAAAGACCAGTGTCCTAAGTACATCGCGAAGGACACATTCGACAGTCGAGGATACAACTTTTCTGGGAAAAGGGCAGACAGTTCTTAGCCATTCCGCCCCGGGGTTTGTGCTCACTCCTCACAATTGTTCGTAGGTGTTTGTTCAGCAGGGGCTACATCATGTTTTCGCGTTCCCTTGCCTACTACGGAGCTTAGCGCTACGGACTTCAGAATGTTGCAGGACATCTGCGGAGATTTCAGCAACGGCCACAAGGTGGTTTCCTCGGTTCGCAGAGGTCCCAGTTCGATTCCGTTGACCAGCAAAAGTCTTCAAACTCTTGTCCAGAGGGGGATGGTTTTCCGATGAGGTGGTGGAGTCGTACTTGGTCGTGCTTGCCAACGCTGCGTTCCCTGGGGGTCCCTCTCTTTACATTTTCAGTCCCTTTTTCTATTCCAAGCTCGTTAGAGGCGGGTATCGACATGAAAGGGTTGCGAAATGGACAAAAGATGTGGATATTTTCTCGTACGACATGGTCTTGATTCCTGTCCATAAACATGGAGTGCATTGGACCATATTATGTGTTCGAGACCAAGGGCTAGAGTACTACGACTCCCTCCTACAAGGCGATGGCGGTTTTTCTTCCGATGTGCTTGCGAACTTCACGCAATACCTCCGTGACGAAGCGGTTTGTCGATATGGTCAACAAGCCAAACTGGATCTCCCGGCGCCCAAGGTGGTTGCTCATGGTGTCCCTCAAGAGTCGGACGGGTCGAGCTGCGGTGTTTTCATGCTCGCCTTCGCTTCTTTTCTTGCACGCGGCTATCAACCACCATTTCCGATAGCCCAAAGCGACATTGCAAACATCAGGCTGAGGATTGTGGTGGACAAACTTCAAGGCTCTGAATAATGCCCCTGTTGTTAAAATACGCGCAGTTTGTTTTTTCAAAGGCCATAAGCAGAAGTGCGAATCTATTCTCACTTCATCTAGCAGTCAGTCGGTTCGAGCTGTGCTGTTGTTTTGATGAGGTACCGGATTGCAGTGGACGTTTTGATCAAGTACACGCTTAGGTGTCGATGTGAATATCCCAACCTCGTGCTCTAGAAATTTTTTAAGGGTTCTTCATTTCGTGGAACCTGTCATCTTTACTCGTACGACTTTCTGCAGCGCCTTGCTGCCTTTGTTTGTTTTCGGATTGTTCTCATTGCTTGTTGCGCAACATCAGCTAGAGGGTAGCAGTGGACGCTAACGTGAAGTAGAAGCTTAGATGCCGATGTAAATATCCCAGCCACGTGGTGCCGTTCCTTTTAAGTTGACGCTTACATATCGGATGTGAATATCTCAACTTTGTGCTCCTTTTGTTTATTTTCGGGTTGTTTTCCTTATGTCATCTCAAAACCGCGGCAGCACCGTGCTGCGTTTCTTCGTTTCGAGGTTATGCTCCTCTGTTACTCATGTGAAAGATACCGACGATTTATTCTTGGTTGCCAAATTGTTTCGTGCTTATCTCTTTCGTTCGCGATACTTTGTGGTGTGAAAGCCCCTCTCCCCTGCCCCACCCCGACCACCCAGCTTTCATATGTTTTGGCTCGCCCTTGTTCTGCGTGTGCCGCCCCGTTTTATGTTCACCGCCTGTGCTTGTCTCCATTGAATAATGTCTGTTGGTTCCTTATGACAGTTGCGAACTTGTTCTCCATTCGGAAACCATTTCTCGCCAGAATGTATGTGTGCTTGTAGTTGATTTACGGATTCAACGGTGCACTAAATGATTAGCAATTTTGTTATACCCGGAATACATATCGTGCTCTCCAGGGAATGATGGTTGTTGTTTCCGTGTGAGAAATGCGAACATATTCGCACTTTGGATGTCGTACATTTGTGATTGAACTGTTGGTTCCATATGAGAAATGACACCCAGCTTTCATATGTTTTGGCTTGCCCTTGTTGTGCGTGTGCCGCCCCGTTTTACGGTTCACCCCCTCTGCTTGTCTCCATTGAATGCTGTCTGTTGGTTCCTTATGACTGTTGCGAACTTGTTCTCCATTCGGAAACCAATTATCGTTAGAATGTATGTGCGCTTGAGGTTGTTTTACGGATTCAGCGGTGCACTAAATGATTACCAATTTTGTTATCCCCGGAATATATTTTGTGCTCTCCATGGAATGCTGGATGTTGTTTTCGTATGAGAAATGCGAACATATTCGCACTTTGGATGCCGTACATTTGTGATTGAACTGTTGGTTCCATATGAGAAATGAGAACATATTCGCATTTTGGCTCCATGTACTTTGTGATTTTTGGAAAGTCTCCGTGCACTTTGCAATGTGGGATTGTATGATATTTTACGTTCAACGATTTTTTGAAACGTCTCTGTGTGCTTTGCAATTTGCCCTTGAATGAATTTTCTGCATTTAATGGTTTATGGAAACTGTTCGTCTGCTGTGAGACTTCACCTTTGGAAAAACAGTAGGCAACTTAACCTCGATGCATTTTGGAAAATGTTTTCACCTCGATGTTTGCGATGACAAGAGATACTTGTATGAATGGATATGAATCTTCTACACAGAAAGATTTGATAGCGTTTTTAACCTGTAATATAGAAATGACAAGCCAATGTCCATATTAAATCGTCGCGCTGATGGACTGCGCAACTGCTTCTCCATCAAAGTGCGAGTTCAATCGCACTTCTGGTGTGAGCCCTGAGCAATTCCCTCGCACTTTGCTTCACGTCGAGGAGGTGATCCAAGGCACCGCCGGTAAGCACCTACACATCACGAAACAAGAGCACGTCCCAATTGGAACATCGTCGGGTTCTTGTGATGTCGACTCTCACATGATGACTACACTGAACAGCGGTAGGATAACTGCTCCGCCTCTCCGATGTGGATCTAACGGTGGATTGCGTCAAATCTGCTCTCATAGATCCGCGTCGGGGATGGGGGACGGGATCCGACCACAGTTTGCTTGTAAGGCATCATATGATGTGTCGTTATAACCGACATCCAGTACTGCTTGGTGAGCATCTAGTGCTACGCCAATAAGTTCCAAACACGGCAGCAAAGTCCCTTAAGAGTGTTCTTTGCCGGGTCCTCACCTCATCGACTCTCAAGATGACTACAGCCAACAACGGTAGGATGGCAGGTCCATCTATCCGATGTGGATCTCACGGTGGAGTGCGAAACTCTGCTCTCAAAGATTCACACCGGGTAGAAGGTCCTGCAAACTGCCGCTGCTTGCTTGTAAGGCATCTTATGATGTATCGATATGACCGACATCCAGAACTGCTTGGTGAGCATCTAGTGCTACACGAATATGTTCCAAACACGGCAGCAAAGTCCCCTGACAGTGTTCTTTGTCGGGTCCTCACCTCGTCGACTCCCTCAAGATGACTACAGCTGACAGCGGTAGGATGGCACGTCCACCTAT